GTGTTACAGACGAATGTGCTAAGACTTTTAGGAAAGGAAAGTGGTCTTGGGGCAGTACGCGTCGCTGGAAGGGACTCTGGAGAAGAATAATAACGGAGCGGCAGCCAAAGGATGGAATGTGTCGAAGACTACGTCCACCAAGGAGATGGGAGTGGTGAGGTGCTGAATGGATTGCTACATCACAGGATGTTGAGAGGTGGCAGTCAATTGGGGAGGCCTTCATCCAACAGTGAACTGATCATGGCTAATGATGACGATGATAGCAAATACAGCAGACCCTCGATTTTCCGCGTTAATGACGGGGAGGGCGGCCGTGGATAATTAAAAATCGCGAATCCCAAAATATCAATTTTCCGCGGATCACTATGTGATAACACTTTCCCGTTCCCGCGAAAAAATGCCTGCCCAGTAAGTGGATAACAGAGCCACGCCAATGAAAACCAATCAAACTCCGCCCACTGTTGTAAAGATATGCAACTCCTGTACTGTAGAGGCGATCATGTGGATTTCGGATTAACCGGAGCAACATATTTGTTCGGTTTAAGCGCGTGACTTGTAAGCGAGTGAAGCCAAACTGGCGTGGTTTGGCCACGTCAGTGTCCTTCACTAATTTTCAGCGAGTGGAGGACGCTTTCGCAATTAAGACATCGCCAGTGTGAGGGCTGCCACACCGCTCGCAAGGGGGTCTTTTCGCATGTGTATTTTTCGGGGGGGGGGGGTGCACTTCAGGGGTCCGCACTAAAGACCACCAGGGGGCCGCGAGTGGCCCGCTGGGCCTTGCAACACTGGGCCAAGTGGCGGAGGAGAGAAGCGTCGTACAGAATTTTTAACGGGGAGATTGCAGGAAGGAGAGAGGAAGAGCCACGATGAGACAGAAGGAAAAAAAGATTTTAAAAAAATTGGTAAAATAAATACATTTTCAATGCACACAATTTTATTTGCACTCAAATGTAGAGATTAATTACTTTGGCCCCAGAATTAATCAAATTTGATGTTCTGAATAAAAGTGGGTGGTTTCCTTTCGCTATGTTCTATTTGTATTATGCAAGCCACCCACTTTTATTCAGAACATCAGATTTGATTAATTCTGGGGTCAAAATAATTAATTTCTACGTTTGAGTGCAAATAAAAGTGTGTGCATTAAACAAGTAGTTTGTTTCTATTTTTGTATTGTTTTAAATTTAATTTTCAACGGCTATTTCAAAATGAAAGGAAGTTAATTTGTTGGCAACATGCACATTTTGTAAAAGTTTAAATCATTTAAATTGGCAACTTAGTTGGTAAGAGTGGAGATAGTAGTAGCATTTGTGTTAAAATACTTTTGTTATATATGATAAGACGTAACTTTATTTTTACATTTTAGTCTCATAGTCATTTACTTAATTCTAGATTTGAAGCTTTCGTGACTGCAAGGATTCATATTCTTAGGTTTTTTTTTGGTAATTTGCAAACAGTAAGGTTATGTCATGTTGAAGTTCAACAAAGCAATCAAATGACTTTGCGTCTCTCTAGTTACGCATATGCAAATAGAATAGCGGATTTACAAGGGCAGAACATGCAAATGCCAAATATCCAGGCGGCAGAGTTAGGATCGCACCCACGACCTCCTGTATAAAAGGCGAGGTAATTAACATCTCGGCACCGCGAGGTGTTAACTGTTAAGAACAGCAACACCATAACCCTCAACGCCGCCGATGAACAAATCACGCCGAATTGAAATGCGGCCGATCTGGTCGGACCTCGAAAGCCAAGCAGCTCTGAGCCTGGACAGTGCCTGGAAGGGGTGTCCACCCTACACAAACAGGTTGTCATAGGGCTGCAGGAGCCATGTTGTGTTCATATACAGTTGTACTAAACATCTATGCTGCCCGCGACCATTTGTGATTTAAAATAGGGGGCGGAATTGATTAGCATTAATTACGTAAAGTTACAAATGTTAAGAGGAACAGGACCGGCGGGACCTGGACCGTTTTTGTTTAATGAAATCTTGAATTGTCGTGCGAGACGAGTCAGTGTAGAACATTTCAGCTCGTTCGGCTTCGTAGATCCGAGGATATTAGGCGTCAAAGATTTTAAAGAATATAAACAGACAACGGGGCATGTTCAATAAAAGTGTACAACAAAAAAAAGGGGTCTTGCCAGTGGCTGGGGTGATGCCAATGGGCAAGGCGGGAGGGAAGAGGGGCATTGTGGGGGACGTTTCACAGACCTAAGTAGCAGAGGTCGCAACCGGGTACCCGATACCCGTACCCTACCCGATACCCGGCTACCCGTACCCGGCCGGGTACGGGTACCCGTTTGCGACCCTGGTGCGGCCGGGTACGGGTACGGGTACGGGTAGACCGTGAGTCACTGGTGAGTAACTGTTTGTCACTCATTTCCCAACGTCTTGTCTCTTCTCACAATTCAAGTTCCTAGAATCAACCCACCCGCGCCTGCAACATGGCTTCATCCCAGAGGTCGCAATCAGGTGGCCGTACCCGTACCCTACCCGTACCCGGCCGGGTACGGGTAGGGTACGGGTACGGCCGGGTACGGGTACCCGTTTGCGACCCTGGTGCGGCCGGGTACGGGTAAGAAATGAAAACCCGTTTGCGACCTCTGCTAAGTGGAGGAGAGAGACCTTGAAGTGCAACGCGATCGCAACGTTGGGCGTAATGAGAAGGGATATTTGGCAATGGGAAGTATGGGTAAGGAGGATTCCAAAGGCCCCTTTTTTTTTCCCCACTTACGACAGTTTGGAGCCCCCGTGGAGAACCAGGTGCACTCATGGATTGTGCGTGCCCAAGAAGAGAATCCCGTCAACTCAATCAATTAACTCGATTAACTGCGGGGCCGTTCGACTCGGCACTCAATCAATTAACGACGGGCACAGCTAACTGACCCAGGATGACCAGAGGCATGAAGAAGCAAAGTAACAAATGTCAAATCCTCTAGCCAATTAAATCTCATCAACACGGAGTGTGACGTATTCATACCTGTCAACCGCTTATCAGTGCCTACCTTATTACAGACAAATTGAGACCTTATTGGGCACCCAATGACCTTATAATTCTCAACATTCATCCTACAAAGTACCATCACAAGGGAGAAACACAAAAAATAATGTTGTACTCAATTTCCCTGTACAAGAATACGGATAAATCATATGGAGTTGACAGGTATGTGTATTGCAAATAAATGTATTAAAGTCCCGCTGCTGTCTGGATAAAGGTCACAGCATGAGGCAAGTAGATTTGGCTGTGGCGCCCAATGCATTAGCCCTCCGAAAACAACTCTTTGAAAAAAATGATACACTTTGTTATTTATATTTTCTACAAAGACACAAATTATTTTTTTGCAGTTACGATGTCCGTTGTTTTTAGCGATGAGAAGAAACCCATGCAGAAGAGAGGAGAGAAAATTATGAAAAAAAAGAATAGGTTTTAACCCTTTCTGGCAATAAAATAGGCGTTAAGATGTTCAAACAAGGAAACAAGTCCGCATTAACCACACGTGTGTGTGGTGAACATACACACAAACAGGTTCAGATAATACATGTGTAGTGACATAAGAAGGGAGGGGCTGCTGTAGGCTCTGGGTTCCCAGGTGGGTCCAGACGCGTAAGCCTCTGGGCGCCAGGCACTGGGTTCCCAGGGGGTCCAGACGCTTTTAAGCCTTTGGGCGCCAGGCGTTGGGTTCCCAGGCGCTTAAGCCTTTTTGGCGCCGCCAACGGGGAGGGGGCTGTGTGTGCTCTGTGGGATGTCTGGTGGCGCACACGGCCCCACCCCTCGTTGGATCAGGCATAAAAGGAGAGCTCCCTGGACAATCGGGGCCCAGTTGTAACTCAAGACCCAAGACCCACGACCAGCCATCTGAAGACCCTGGGATGCTGTGAGAGCCAGCGCTGGGACTCTGGAACTCCCGACTCTACGACCTTGTGAGGGCGAGCGTAGCCAGAGTAGAGTATCTAGAGTATCTAGGCTGTGTAGCTAGGCTGTGTACCTAGGCTGTAACAGAGTATCAGGACTGTTGGAGTGTTGTATTGTAATAAAGAAGTTACATCTACAAGTGTCTCCGGAACCCGTTACACATGCATTGTCCGTTTCATTGGCAAAAAGGATCAAACCTATGAGACCTCCTTTACTAGTGGCAAAATATAGTAATAGGTGTTTACCCTTTCAACTGGTACAAAAACTGACACCTTTATACAAGGGATCATGTTTGCAATAACCACAACACAAGCAGTCAAAATGCAAACAAAAATAAACAACTCTGATAATGATATGCACTGTCCTTGAAGTTGATTGGTCCACACCCGAGACAGCTTTTAGGCTCTAAGAAAAGCCGTCTCGGGCGTGGACCAATCAACTTCAAGGACAGTGCATATCATTATCATTATCAGAGTTGTTTCTTTTTGTTTGCATTTTTAAATCCTTTATATTAAGTTCACTTGCTTGCTTGCTTGCGCGCTTACGACCGTGCAAATCTTTCGGTCGTTTTTTAACCCACTTCCCGTGATCCAATCGAGCTGACATTTTGCACACAGACTCGTTGTGCGTGACAATTTATTTTCGTGAAAAAAAAAATTCCTAAATTTTCCACTTTTTAGGAAAAAAAAAATGTCATATTTAATTTAAAATACCAATGTGATAAAAATGAAACTCTTACTCAAGAAAAACAGAAATGAATAATAAAATAAAACCGATGCCACGCATATAAAGGATTTATAGTGAAAAACTTTGTTTTTACGGGTTAATTTTTTACTGCTTGTGTTGTGGTTATTGCAAACATGACCCCTTGTATAAAGGTGTCAGTTTTTGTACCAGTTGAAAGGGTAAAAACATATTACTACTTTAGGATAAAATCTATTCTCATTTTTCATACTTTGATACTGGCAAAAAGGTCCCATGTTAAGAAGAAAATGTCCCGGGGCAAGGTTACGTAAGGTAAGCAGACAGACTCCCATCAGCAATTAGCACACAACGGAGGCTACGGTTGGCATGGGAAACCAGATTTACCTTCTCAGAACAGTAGTTTTCAATCATCTGAGTGACCTTGGGGTGAGAAGGGTTGATGGTTGTGTCCTGCAGAACCACATCCTGAATGTAAAACTGCCGAACGGTCTGCAGCGGGATCTTTTGAAGGTTCATGCGCTTCCCGTGCACGTGAAGGATGCCCACGTGCCTTTAAAAGACGCAACAGCATCATTCGCACCTCCGATTAGCGCGGTCGGCTACGTGCGGTGCAAAAGAAGTTCAACATACATAGACTCACAGGCACCCCATAGACTCACACAGAGACCCATAGACTCGCACAGAGACCCATAGACTCGCACAGAGACCCATAGCCTCACACAGAGACCCATAGACTCGCACAGAGACCCATAGACTCACACAGAGACCCATAGACTCACACAGAGACCCATAGACTCACAGGCACCCCATAGACTCACACAGAGACCCATAGACTCACACAGAGACCCATAGACTCGCACAGAGACCCATAGACTCGCACAGAGACCCATAGCCTCACACAGAGACCCATAGACTCACACAGAGACCCATAGACTCACACAGAGACCCATAGACTCGCACAGAGACCCATAGACTCGCACAGAGACCCATAGCCTCACACAGAGACCCATAGACTCACACAGAGACCCATAGACTCACACAGAGACCCATAGACTCACACAGAGACCCATAGACTCGCGCAGAGACCCATAGACTCGCACAGAGACCCATAGACTCGCACAGAGACCCATAGACTCGCACAAAGACCCATAGACTCACACAGAGACCCATAGACTCACACAGAGACCCATAGACTCACACAGAGACCCATAGACTCGCACAGAGACCCATAGACTCACACAGAGACCCACAGACTCACACAGAGACCCACAGACTCGCACAGAGACCCATAGACTCGCACAGAGACCCATATACTCGCACAGAGACCTATAGACTCACACAGAGACCCATAGACTCACACAGAGACCCATAGACTCGCACAGAGACCCATGGACTCGCACAGAGACCCATAGACTCACACAGAGACCCATAGACTCGCACAGAGACCCATAGACTCGCACAGAGACCCATAGACTCGCACAGAGACCCATAGCCTCACACAGAGACCCATAGACTCGCACAGAGACCCATAGACTCACACAGAGACCCATAGACTCACACAGAGACCCATAGACTCACAGGCACCCCATAGACTCACACAGAGACCCATAGACTCACACAGAGACCCATAGACTCGCACAGAGACCCATAGACTCGCACAGAGACCCATAGCCTCACACAGAGACCCATAGACTCACACAGAGACCCATAGACTCACACAGAGACCCATAGACTCGCACAGAGACCCATAGACTCGCACAGAGACCCATAGCCTCACACAGAGACCCATAGACTCACACAGAGACCCATAGACTCACACAGAGACCCATAGACTCACACAGAGACCCATAGACTCGCGCAGAGACCCATAGACTCGCACAGAGACCCATAGACTCGCACAGAGACCCATAGACTCGCACAAAGACCCATAGACTCACACAGAGACCCATAGACTCACACAGAGACCCATAGACTCACACAGAGACCCATAGACTCGCACAGAGACCCATAGACTCACACAGAGACCCACAGACTCACACAGAGACCCACAGACTCACACAGAGACCCATAGACTCGCACAGAGACCCATAGACTCGCACAGAGACCTATAGACTCACACAGAGACCCATAGACTCACACAGAGACCCATAGACTCGCACAGAGACCCATGGACTCGCACAGAGACCCATAGACTCACACAGAGACCCATAGACTCGCACAGAGACCCATAGACTCGCACAGAGACCCATAGACTCACACAGAGACCCACAGACTCACACAGAGACCCACAGACTCACACAGAGACCCATACACTCACACAGAAACCCATACACTCACACAGAAACCCATAGACTCACACAGAGACCCATAGACTCACACAGAGACCCATAGTTTGTTGTCCTTCCCCCGCACCTCCGATTAGCGTGGTCGGCTACGTACGGTGCGAAAGAAGTTCAACATACGGACGTATTGGCGGTACACCGGTGCAGCATAACACACCGGGGTCCTCATAAAACAGTCTCTATAATCACAATTTGAACTGATATTCGTCTTCCAGCTGCTTCGACATCACGAGAACTGATTTTGATGCACGACTCCACAAGATTTTCTGAGCGGGGTTGCGAATGGTGAGAAAATAAAATAATTGTCAGCGTTCTCATTATTATTTAGAACTGCGCACCGGTGTACCGCCAATACGTTCATAAAGACATACACTTGGCATCACAAGTATTACTTATGATTATCATAGACCAACGACTCTTTGAAGCCGCAACATGTTAAAGTTGTGGCTTAAAGGGTCATTTGGTTCATGCTTTGCACACGTGTGTACACCAGCAGTCCTTTGTCGACAGCTCTCCCTGCTCCCCCCTACATCATGCAGCTTTGATTACTATGAACCAGTTTTGCAATGCTGCCACAGGGGTGTAACGGCCAGTACACTGGACTTGCCATCCAGAGGTCACCAGTTTGTTGATGGGAAGGTCACGTGTGGTGGGTTAAAGTGTGGGTAAGCCCACCTCTTCCGAGACGTCTGGCCAGTGTGGAAGAGTGGGCCAAATGCCATCTGGTGGAGGCCCTTTGGCCGGCAGATGCATGAACAAGCAATGGCAGGGGTGCACTTTTGCCTTTAGCCATATTAAAAGGCTAATGGTGTTCTCTCTCCCTATGGGGACGTGTGTGCGTTTGTGCGCATCTGTTCGTGTGCGCGTGTCTGTGACAAACCCGGCGACCCGGGATCGATTCCCACTTACGACCAACGCCAACGACAACCCAAACCCGGTTTTGACCCTCACCTAGGTCGACTCAATTGAGTACCTGGTGTCATGCATAAACATTGCCATGGAGGAGACAAGGCAGAGGTCGCAACTGGGTACCCGATACCCGTACTCTACCCGATACCCGGCTACCCGTACCCTACCCGATACCCGGCTACCCGTACCCGGCCGGGTACGGGTACCCGTTTGCGACCCTGGTGTGGCCGGGTACGGGTACGGGAAGGCCGTGAGTCACTGGTGAGTAACTGTTTGTCACTCATTTCCCAACGTCTTGTCTCTTCTCACAATTCAAGTTCCTAGAATCAACCCACCCGCGCCTGCAACATGGCTTCATCCCAGAGGTCGCAATCGGGTACCCGATACCCGTACCCTACCCGATACCCGGCTACCCGTACCCGGCCGGGTATCGGGTACGGGTACCCGTTTGCGACCCTGGTGCGGCCGGGTACGGGTAAGGAATCAAAACCCGTTTGCGACCTCTGAGACAAGTCCAGCCAGGCGTGGTGCTGGCCACACACCCCCTCGTGCGCCGTGGGCGGCCTTCGCAGGTGCCGCTTTCTAACGGCACTCACCCCCAACAGTCTAAGGCTGCACAGGGGATATTTGTCGCTGCTGTGCACGCGTCCGCCAAACACCGCTCACTTGGCAACTGCTTCGCCGGGAGAGAGGGAGGTCGCGACGCTGCTGCCGGGTTGCGTGACGTAGAACAAGCGCTGCTCGTTGCGCACGGGCTTGATGAGGCACTCGTGCTCGTGGCCCCACACCACCAGGTCCAGGAAGCTATAGAGGAAGTGCTCCGGAATGTAGTTGGTGGCGCTGTGCTTGGACCTGTGTGTGTGTGTGTGTGCGTGGGAAAGTGGGTGGGTAGCGGTTAGCTCACTGCGCTACGAACCTGGTGACTCGAGTTCGATTACCGCTCACGGCCAACGCCAGTGGCGATTATCTAAACTGGTGCTGGGCCTCCCCTACGTCGACTCAGCCTCAAGTGAGTACCTGGTGTGGTGTGTTGTAAATGTTGCCACTGGTGAGGTAAAGGCGGTCGGGAGTGTTGTGCTGGCCACCCACTCCCTCATGTTCCGTGCCGGCCTTCATAGGTACTCGCTAACAGCACTTGCCCCATAAGGGTGAACTTTGTCTTTGGAGCGGTGGCATCGTGGTCAGCGCACTGGAATCAGCAGTTTGTCAACTTTAAATATCTCGGCGTTATCCTGGACTCGAAAATGTCGTTGAAGACCCACATTGACCACACGACCAACAAGATTATACAAAACTAAATTGGATTCCTATACAGAATCAAACGCTGTGATGTAGAGATAAAATCGTGGGTACAACTTTGGTGTTTACCACCTTTCATTAAAAGACACCTGCATTCCGTGCATTTACGGACGGACAGAGTGGACTCTGAAACACGGTGGTTTTGGCCGGCACACACATAAAAGGGTGCAAGATTACACATTGTGCATGCATACAAATCTGCATTACTCACACTAATGGATCCTTTCCCACAAAGCTATGGTGACAACATTAATGCATGGTCACGATGACATCCTAGAGCTTTGGTTCCTGGAAACCGACTATTAGCCACTTTTTCGCAGGGCAATCATTCCCCCTCAACGGAGGCATGTAGTCTCCTTGTGTCATCATTTGTGACATGCATCTTTATTCACGTACGGCTGGATTAATAGCAACTCATAAGTCGATGTCCTGATTAGTTTAGAGCAGGACATTGCTTCAATTAATTTGGTGGTGGATTGATTAATTGCATCCAGTTAATTTTCATAGTTTGCAGTGGTTCACAATTAGTGAGGTCTCGCAGAGAGACGCACAGACTTATATAGAGACCCACAGACTCACACAGAGACTCACAGACTCGCATAGAGTCCCAGACTCACAGAGTTCATAGTCATACAATACAGAGAGACCCATGCACTCCAGGCTCTCCAAGAATTCCCACTTGTAAAGGTGGTGGGCGGATTGGCCGTGAGTTTGTGAGATTATTTATAACATCCGACTCGCTAATCCCAGGAAATGTGATTTGCTTTGGATGAGAGCTAAGAATTCAAACCAAAATCTTAGCAGTGCTGAAGTACTCCTCTGGTGCTGACATTGTTCCAGAGGTCGCAATCGGGTACCCGTTACCCGTACCCTACCCGATACCCGGCTACCTGTACCTGGCTGGGTAAGGGTACCCGTTTGCGACCCTGGTGCGGCCGGGTAGGCCGTGAGTCACTGGTGAGTAACCATTTGTCACTCATTTCCCAACGTATTGTCTCTTCTCACAATTCAAGTTCATAGAATCAACCCACCCACGCTTGCAACATGGCTTCATCCCAGAGGTCGCAATCGGGTACACGTACCCTACCCGATACCCGGCCGGGTACGGGTAGCCGGGTATCGGGTAGGGTACGGGTACCCGTTTGCAACCCTGGTGCGGCCGGGTACGGGTAAGGAATCAAAACCCGTTTGCGACCTCTGCATTGTTCACCATCGGAACGCTTGTCTGTTGTCTCATGAGTTATGCATGCATAGAGACCCACAGACTCGCACATGCATAATTCATCAGAATAATTTTTTCATGCATAACTAACGTGACAAATGTCAATATAGAAAGCAACGTCGTGCAACATTTATTGCCAAGAATATGAGATTTTTTTACCAAGTCGCATTTGAGCGATCCAAGTTTAATTCAAGAACTTAATAAAAAAATTACAATAACAATAACTGCCAGTTAATTGTCAATCCCGCGGCTGCAAGGTGTACGTGCTTCTCAACAATGTTGCCTTTCGAGGGTGATCTAGCGGGGGCTCCACGTGGGAGAGACAAGGCCCGGCGCCTTCCACAGTCAGCCCCTCAACGAGGTTGTCTTGTCTGGCTTATGGCGGTGCCAATTCTTAAAGTACGCCTCTCCGATTTTTGGACATCTTTCTCGAGGACTTTCCCAGTGTCCTCTCGTCCAGGGGCTTGGCTTGCCAGCCGCGCGGCGCCGTCCACGTACGTGAACCCGCGGAAGGATGTTGCCGGAATGCCCGCCGGCGTAGAGGTTGAACAGCGCCGGTGCAAGAGCAGATCCCTGCGGGAGTCGGCTCTTACCGGGAGTCGGCTATTCAATCTCCGTGTGCCGCTGGCCGCTTCACCGAAATGGATGCGGTGAACTATCGCTGGCTCGGCACGTCGGCGACAAGTCGGATTGTTGGGCGGCAAAGGCACGGTCCGTCGCAAGCTGTAGCGGCAGACTCTTCCGCTATGCGGTATCATCTGCCGAAGAGAGGCCATCGAACGCTGCCGCTGTTTTGGGCCGACGTTCAAAGCCTGTCTTCAATGTCGTTTGCTCGCGGCCATTTCGTCCGTTCCTGTACCCGGCTTGTTCCTTGGGGACTATATCCTCAAACGTAAGCTTCAGCCTTTGCGAAGAGACTAACTTCTCGAGTGGTGATAATAATAATATATAAATGTGCTCGGATGAGTTCGGCGCAGCTACACAGCACAACTGCAACCAGCTACGCGGAAATAGAGAATTTCCACCACCGGATGGATTAAAGCCATCTTAGGAGATGAGAATTTGCTCGCGCATGGAGAAGCTGTCGATTTTCTTTAATCCCTGTGTTAAAGTAAAAAAAATGTCAAAGTCATTTTCTGCTGAGCATTGAGGCTCTGAGCCAGTGGAGGAAATTCGACATTCCTATGATGGGGGATTAGTCGATCAATAGGGCAAACAATAATGACTCCGGCACAAAAGTGGCACTTGTTCATCAACTACAGAGGATCGGACAATGGGGCCGAGGAAAAACACCCAACCAGAATTTGAACATAGTAGTAGGTTTTTACCCTTTTAAACTTTTAAACTGGTACAAAACTGACACCTTTATTAATAAATTATTAATAAATAAAGGTGTCCGTTTTGTACCAGTTTAAAAGGGTAAAAACCTACTACTATATTTTGCTACTGGTAAAAGAGATCTCATAGCAGAATTTGAACGCGTGCTTTTTCCCGATTGCGAGACGCTGACTCAATCGCGAGCCACCAGGGTTCGATATCCCACTCACATTAAAACCCATGAATTCTGAGTTGTGATATCACTTGGCCACCTCTAAAAGATGTAGCTTTATATGTACATGTACAAGAATTACCACATGTCAACAACAAAACACCCACAGAAGATAATGTGCACTTGGGACAGCCACTGAATGTGCAATGGAATCGAAAATCTTTCAACAGACAAAAGCAAGTTCGAGCCAATTTGAAGCACTGAACAAAAAGCAACGGATAAAATTGTCACTGTGACACTGTCAGCGCTACCAAAGAACATGGGCAAAATGCTCAAGAGTGCACAGAGGAGCATCAGAATCAGAATGTTGATACTGGTAGGAACCTCCTGGTTACACCAGCCCACAGGGGATTATTGTGCCCGTCCGTCGTGCAGGGAGGGGCTGGGTGGGAAGGGAGGGGCTGGGTGGGGAGGTGAGGGTGGGGAGGGGCTGGGTGGGGAAGGTGAGGCTGGGTGGGGAGGGGCTGATCACCCCGTGGTGCCCTTATAAAACTCAACGTTTAACCTACTCACGCCGGCTTGTGCCCGCCCTCACAGTCGGCCATATTTACGGCATACACCACGCCGCCGTTGACCCTGGCCATTGACCGAGCAACCCAACGTTCCTACCAGCTCTTCCACAGGAATGTGTTCTAAACATGGAGAGGAGCATCCTCGGAAATACACCGATAGAGACAGAAAGAGAAGGGCATGCGTTAGAGAACAGTAACAAGTTGGAGGCATAATTCGAACTGAAAAGGAAAAGTGAGCGTGCTTTGGGCAGGGCCACGTGGTGGCTAGAAGGGATGAGGGCTGATGGTCAGGAATTAGTGACGCGAGCGACAGCCAAGGGAACAGAATACGTGCCCACCAGGGAGACGGAGCAATGAAATCAGATCATGTGCGCAGGTGTCGGATGGACTAGTTGGATTGCAGGATTGTGAGAGGTGGCAGGGGCTTAGTGAGACCTTCACTCAGAAAGTGGATCGACCGTGACTGATGAAGATGACGATTTAAAAACACAGAGACGTGCGCATCCCTGCTGGGTGTTTATTCAACCGTTCGGAAGATTATGTCCTAACTGCAGGTTTTAATTGATTTAGTCTTTACAAAAAATTATCCCAAAATTAGCTTCCACTGGACCAGCGCCGGTAATGACATTTTGGCTAAAACGTTACTCATCAATTTGTGCCTCTCCAATGGTAATTGGCACCTGTGCATGTTAGCAGATAAAAAGCAATTTCCTAATAACTTTTTTGCCTGAAAAGATGACCCAGCCGGTTCTTATCCTCATGCCTGCGAGTACGCCGCTGGCAAGTGTAACGGCGAGCAGATAATTGATCAACGTGATCATTTGCTTTTCCAAAAAATATATAAATAAAAACAAACTATTGCTCATCATGTGCGTGTATGAATGTATGTTGAACTCCTTTAGTACCGTAGGCTGCCAACCGTGCTAATCGGAGGGTTCGAGTGAAGGACAACAAACTAAACACAAAAAGCAGTTCTGAAGAAATTAGTTTTCAATCTAGATTCAAAATTGCATTGCTCCAGCGGCTTCCTAACATCGTAAGAGCGTTCCAGACGGCCGCAGAAGCGGATCTGAAAGCGCGCGATCGATACTGACCACGGGTATTGGATATAAAGCTTCTCAGAATCTGGGACTGGCGGAAGGATGACAAATTCAATCCGAACGCGCACAATTTGAATTCTGCGATGAACATTTACTGTGCAATGTCCTGGCCCCACTGATGCTCAATCATAGCCAGGAATCGAGCTCCGATGGGCAAATTATTGGCGCAG